AATCCACTCACCTCGGCCTCCCAAAGCGTGGGATTATAGGCTGAGCCACCGAGCCCGGCCTATTTTTTATATTTATTTATTTTTTGAGTTGGAGTCTCACTCTGTTACCCAGACTGGAGTGCAGTGGCTGCTCCCGGCCACTACAGCTTCGGCCTGCTGTGCTCCGGCAATCCTTCCACCTCAGCCTTCCAAGTAGCTGGAACTACAGGTGTGCGCTACCACACCCGGCTATTTTTTTTTATTTATTGTAGAGATGAGGTCTCACCAAGTTGCCCAGGCGGGTCTCGAACCCTTGGGCTCAGGCAATCCACTCACCTCAGCCTCCCAAAGTGCAGGATTATAGGCTGAGCCACCGAACCCGGCTAATTTTTTTATTTTTTGTAGAGATGAGGTCTCACTATGTTGCTTAGGCTGGTCTGGAACACCTAGGCTCCAGTGATCCTCCTACCTTGGCCTCCCAAAGCACTGGGACTACAGAAGTGAGCAACTGGGCCCAGCCATGGGGGTATTTTTATTTATTTATTTTTTTTTAGTTAGAGTTTCACTCTGTCGCCCAGACGGGAGTGCGGTGGCCGCTCCCGGCCACTGCAGCCTCGACCTGCTGGGCTCCAGCGATCCTTCTGCCTCAGCCTTCCGAGTAGCCAGAATTACAGGCACGCCTGGTTAATTTTTTGATTTATTGTAGAGATGAGGTCTCGCTGCCCAGGCGGGTCTCGAACCCGCAGGCTCAGGCAATCCCCTCACCTCAGCCTCCCAAAGGCAGATTACAGGCTGAGCCACCGAGCCCGGCTGGGGGTATTTTTATTTGGCCACTGCTCCAGGCCACCTTCTAGAAGTAGAAGGAGATGCCTGAATCAAAGGTGGGCCCCCAGTTTCTGACCTGGGGCCTAGGCTGACCAGGGAGCCTATCTCAGGGAAGGAGCTAAGCACAGGGGGCTTGTGGTAACCACAACTCGTCTGTGGAAGGTGTCCCCAGGTCTGGAACCAGGGTAGTGTCTGCAGCCACAGAAAGGACAAGATGGGATCACACTGTGATGAGGGGAAGCATCCAGAGGAAGGGGGAAGGCCCAGGGCAAAGACATGAGCGAGCTAAGGCACAAGTCTCAGGCCTCGCCTGGTGCCCCCAATTTCTCAGCCACTTGAGCACCCTGGAAAGGGTTGGCAATTCCCCAGGAAAGAAGCTGAACTAGGAATGCCAGGTGACTACCAACTATCTATAGGTGTCCTGGGAGAGTCGAACCCGGCAGAACCAGGACCACTCGCCTCAGGCCTGACCCTTCCCAATTCTCTACTCCTGGGTAGAGGGAAGACAAAGATGAGGAGCAGGGAGCCAACAGTCTCAGGGCTGCAGTCCTGCCCTATGAGGCACCGTCTATCCACCACCAAGGGAAGGGAATGAGGCCTGGGCCACATAGTTGCAAAGTGGTAGAGATGAAACATATCCAGGCTCACCTGCCTCTGAGGCCCCTTCTGCTATCCACGCACCCTCCACAGAGCCCCACAGACCCTCAGCCATAGGCAGTCCTCCCCGCAGGTGTCAGGAGGCTGGGACTAAGGCCCAAATCCCACCTACCTCCCCTTTGGGGTACCGGTATCGGTACTTGTCCTGGTCCCGCAGGGCGAACTCCAGTGGATAATGATCCTGAATTTCCTCATAGGTCATTTCCTCACAGACACCCTAGGGAGACACCGCAGTCATTAAACCTCTATGCAAGGCCCAGAAGACCAGTCTTGTTTGAGGAGTGGAGTGGTTAGCACCAGGCAGAGGATACCAGGCTTATGAGGCATTCCTCAGCCAAAGGACCCTCTCAGCCCAGAGCTTAGAACCTGTCTGGGGAGAGCAGGTCCTCCAGGAACATTGAGCATGAGGCAGCTTCTTGTATGTAAAAATCTACCTGAAAATTCTTGGACAAGACCCATCCATCCATCACCCATCCATTCAGTTTATGACATAAAAACAGGTTCAGAAATGCTAACTGAAAGAAGGCACCTATAGAAACCTAGAATAGTGAATCTCACACCTATAATCCCAGCACTTTGGGAGGCCGAGGTGAGAGGATTGCCTGAGCCCACAGGTGTGAGACCAACCTGGGCAACTTGGTAAGACTTCATCTCTACAATAAAAATTTAAAAAATTAGCTGATGTGGTGGTGCATGCCTGTAGTTCCAGTTACTTGGAAGGCTGAAGTGGAAGGATCACTTGAGCCCAGCAGGTCAAGACTGCAGTGGCCGTGAGCATGCCGCTACACTCCAGCTTGGGTGACAGACTGAGACTCCAACTCAAAAAATAAAGAAACCTCAAATAAAGTTAGTCTAGCATAGTCTTTTTTGTCTCAGCATAACCATTTTTTGCTCAGACTTTGCCTCTGACACGCTTTGTGAAGGGTACAGGAAACAGCCAGAGTGGTGGCTCCCAAAATGGCGCTGAACATGGTAAAACCACACTAGACAACAAAGGCCCTAGGTTCCGGCTTCTTATACCCACCCTGCTCCCATGCCGCTCCTCCAATAAGAACCCAGCACAGCCCCTTCCGGCCCCTGTCAGGCTAATAAATACACCCTCTCCCTGCATATATATATATCTCCCTCTCTCTCTCTCTCCGCCCCTCCATATCTCTCTCTCTCCCCGCCCCCTGCATATCTCTCTCTCCCCCCCCCTGCATCTCTCTCTCTCTCAGCCCTCTCCCTGTATCTCTCTCTCTCTCTCTTAGCCCTCTCCCTGCATATCTCTCTCTCTCTCTCTCTTGCTTTTTCTCGGTTACAGACCCTCTCTGTAACAGCCCCTTTAATAAATCTCTTGGTGCCGGCCAGGTGTTCTGTTGTTTTAAGTCATCTACTTTGTGTTACTTTGTTATGGCAGCCCTAGGAAACTGATACACATTATGGTAACAGGAAGTGAAAAGCTGCTGTAATAAAAACTAAAATTGTGGAAGTGGTTATAGAATTGGGTAACTAAGCCGGGCTCGGTGGCTCAGGCTGTAATCCTGCGCCTTTGGGAGGCTGAGGTGTGTGGATCGCCTGAGCCCGCGGGTTCGAGACCCGCCTGGGCAGGCAAGACCTCATCTCTACAATAAATAAAAAAAAATTAGCCGGACGTAGTGGTGCGTGCCTGTAATTCCGGCTACTTGGAAGGCTGAGGCGGAAGGATCGCCGGAGCCCAGCAGGTCAAGGTTGTGGTGGCCGGGAG